CATCATAAGAAAACTGCTGACCATTATTTCTCATGAGCATAGAAGCAACAACAAAAATCCTTAACAAATGATTAGCAAATTGAATCCAGCAATATAAACATAAGGGTTCATATATATCAACCAAGGAGATTTATTTTAGGAATAAATTGTTTTTATATCCAAACATCAGTATAATATACTGTGTTAATAGAATAAAAGAGGATTAGATGCAGAGAAGTACCAGTAAATAAATAAACGTATGTATGTTGGAATGAACTATGGGATTGAACGTATGGGATTGAACTATGTCCCAGACCTTTTATTTTTTGAGACAGGGTCTTGCTGAGTTGCTTAGAGCCTTGCTAAGGTGCTGAGGCTGACTTGAATTTGTGATCCTCCTGTCTCAGCTTCCTGAGTTGCTGGGATTACAGATATGTGCCACCATACCCAGCTCCAACATCTGTTTATGGTAAGAATGCTGAAAATACTAGAAATAGAAATGGATTTCCTCAACTTGACAAAACATAACTATGCAAAAACAACATTCTTAATGGAGAGACTCTTAAGATGGAAGGCTTTCTACCTGAAATAACTATCAAGACAAAGATCTTTGCTCTCACCACCTACATTTAACATTGTGCTGGAGGTTAGTGAAGTAAAGGGCATATACTGGGAAAAGAAGAAATCTGTATTTCCAGATGATATCTTAAGTTATTCTTGTGATTTCTAAAAAGTAAATTTAGAGATACATTATGCCAAGATCCAGCAACAACAATCGACCTCATTTCTATAGACTACTAACAGACAAGATGAGATTTATAAAACAGTTTCACATGAGGATAAACAAAATATGTAGGACTAAGTTGAGCAAAAATTGTGCAAGAGCTAGTCACAGAAAACTGCTAAAAGTTGTTGAAAGTTTGAAGAATACCTGAGTAAATGGAGACATACACTATAGCTATAGATTTAAAGGCATAATATTGTTAACATGGAGTTATTCCCAACTTTTTCTAGACTTGATGTAACCTCAGCCAGAAAGCCAACTGACAATTAAAAAAAATTTTTAACAAAAGACTTCACTGCATAGCACTATTGTAATCAGAACAGCGTTGTATGGCATTAACGATAGATGAATGTGGATCAAACATTGGTCAACTTCTTTTCATCAAAGGTGCCAAAATTATATGGAAAAATAATAAAAATTTCAAGGAATGGTGCTTAAATGCCAGATGTCCCTTTCTTCATATCAAACACAAAAAAACCTAAAATGGAAAATAAAGCAAATTTAAGGGAAAAGCCAAGAAATTCTAGAACTTTGTCTTTTTAAAATATTATTTTATTGGTACATTAGAAATGAAGGTACACTGTGAGAAGCTGTAAAGGTATGCACCTTCAGGAAGGTGAAGAAGCAGTGGAAAACACCTCTTCTAAGTTAAAATTGGCTTGCCCTGTAGGGGGCGCAGGGACTACACATACAAAGGTCATCAGTGGTGAGATTATATGACAGCATCTACCATCTGGAATTTATGTACAAATAGGAAGTTTAAAATATAGATTTTAGTGAACAGTGACTACTCTTGACCTCTTAGCCAGGGAGTACAGATGAGAAGCCATAGGTACCTAAAATTTATACAAACACAGGTTTATAAAAATTAGCCAAGGCTCTCAGGCAGTGTTGAAATTTACTCTTGGGAAGAAATCCCAATGTTTGGGAACATTCTTTCACCTGCTGGATAGTTTTCTTTGAGAGAAGCATATATTTGTTTTCCCTTCAGTATTAGTTTTATTCAGTTTTGATTTGTCAAACTTATTCACTTTGGACATGTCTTGTTTATCAACGATCTTAACTAGAAGAAAGACTGAAGGCTTAAAGCCTAGTTTAAGGTTGTCTTTGGGTTGATGTTGCACTCACTTTGAACCAGATTCAAGAAATTCTAGAACATTTTCTAGGAGAATACAGAACACAAAATACAAAATGCTTCACAAATTTGCCTGTTATCCTTGATCAAGGGCCATGCTAATCTTTTTCTGTATCGTTCCAGTTTTAATATATGTGCCATGAAAGTAAACATTCTTTATTTCTTAAACCCTGTTCTTTCCTACTTAATTACCATACATTATCACTATAATATTAAACTAAAAATTATGAAGTCATTTATTCATTTCTCTGGCAAATGTTTGTCATATTTATACCTCACTAATTAACTGTCTGCATCTACATGGGGATATCAAACAGGTGGTTGGAAATCATGAGTGATGTAGCTGGAGATGTAAATTTGTGATTAGGAATGACTGGTATTTAAAGCCAGATGTCTGGATGAGATCACGTAGGTAGGTATGCAAGGATAAAATAATAGGTCAGATGACTGAGCCCAGAGATAGTAATGTTGGAAGAAGTCAGCTAAATGAAGGTGGCTAAGTTGATAAAAAGCAATAGGCCAGCTAGTGAATATGTGTGTTTGAGGAGAAATCAAGTTGTTATAGAAAGAGGAAAGATATTTTGTGACCTGCTGTTGATAGGTCAAGTCATATGAACACTGAGAAATGGCTAATGGATTTGCCCATTTGAAAGTCATTGGTGACTTTCACAATATTATTCTTGGTGGAATGCTGGGAAGGATAACCTGATAGAATACGCATAAAAGGAAATGGAGGAAAGGTCATGAATAACTTTTATGAGACCTTAATGCACTTAAGAAGAGTATTAGATAGGGGCTGGGGATGTGGCCCAAGCAGTAGCGAACTCGCCTGGCATGCGTGCGGCCCGGGTTCAATCCCCAGCACCTCATATAAACAAAGATGTTGTGTCGCCCAAAACTAAAAAAAAAAGAAATACAAATAAACATTAAAAAAAAAAGAAGAGTATTAGATAGTAACTGGAAAGCAATATAAAGTCATAGGAGGCTAGTTTATTTTGTATTGAAATGGGAAATTTTCTTTTTTTTCACATTTTTTAATTGGTGCTTTATAGTTATATATATTGATGGGATTTGTT